ACTTGCAAGGGTAGGACTGTCAGTGCCAAAAGTAAGGGTCTGATTGGGTAAATAGGCATCATTCTGACTTGTTCTTTCCAAAGCTTGCTGGAGAAACTTTGAATATTCATGGAGCATACTGGCTTTGTCTGAAGATGTTGATTGGGAACTTGCACTGGCTCTCTCAGTCTGGGCAACCTCAGCAACATCTGAAGTGTTTATTGACATGCTCGATGCCACCTCTGTATCAGCCACACTAAAAGTCATTTCATGCTGTCCATTTGCCTTATGAGTGTAATGGTCTAACAGAGTCTGCAGTACCTCATCAGGAATTCCACTTTTGTCATGACTATTCTTTATTTCAACAGTTAATGATTGAGAGTCCAACATAGATGCTGCTGTACTTTCATCAATGACACTAGCCACAGCAGCCTGAGTCACAGATGGCTGTGATGCTATCTGGCCTACATTCAGGGCATACTCTCTACTATTGTTACTTGCCGCTTGCAAATAGCGCTTCTTCTTTAGAAACTGCATTGCATCATCATAATTGTTACTGCTATGCACAGGTTTACTAGGAACTTCCTGTAAGGAATCTACTTGATCAATGTCATGGTTTCCCTCAGAATCCAGCAGACCTGGTTTATCAATAAGTTCATACGTATATTTAGTAACTTTATTTTCTTCATATGTGGATAATGCAGACATTGCCTGGCTTGGTTCCAGCTCTAGTTTCTGACTTCTTTTACTGCTGACTTTCTTGATGACCAACTTTGGTGGATGGATATCTCCAGCTGTACTTTCTAAAGGGTCACCACTGTTGGATGAATGTGGTATTTCAACAGAATATTCAGTCACCATATATTCATCCTTCACTTTTGAAGCAATGTTATACAGTGATGAGTAATCATTCTCAGTTTCATCTTTTTTCTGGTCTAATTTTTCTACAGTGCACTCCTTATCAGCAAGAGGAACAGAAGACCTGGATTTTTCTGCTGCTTTTTGCTTCTTTTTCCGTGGTACTGGATTATCTTTATGTTGCAAGGAAATGCTTGGATCTTCCTCCTCTCCTCCCAATTCGTCCATCTTCAATGCACACTTCAGTTTTTTATCTCTATTTTCATGGCACATGCGTTTATGTTTTAATACACGATCAGTTCTGGAGAAATACTGAAATAATCACAATGTTAGAATCAAATCCATTGATTAACATTAAATTCTATAAATGCATAAAAAAGTACATTTTCTACATGTTTCATTTTTTTCAGCATCAGGCACCAACAGCTATGGAAAAACAAAGCTCACAAAAATTACTTGTATATAAAAATTGTCACAGACCACAGTTTACAGATATACAATGATAACTAGTTTGATTGTGGATTGTTGCATGTAAAATCAGTCACACTGTAGACAAAAGAGGACGACCAGGAAGAAACATCTACACCGGATATAAATTAGATAGCTTGGTTATGCCAAGATTGAACTAAAAGTATTGGTTTTAAAATATTTCCTGAAAGTAACATTTCATTTGTTACAATAAAATATTCAATGCAACAACCTGAGTGAGAAAGAAATTATGTTGAAGCACGAGGAAACATATTTACTGAGCTAACGCTAAGCTTACATATCAGTATTAGTAACTGATAGCACTTGAACATTGTTGAAAAGAGGCATCAAGTCAAAGCTATTCATCTTGCACTCATCAGGACTGACATGCAAGAAATTAAACCTGGAAAGGGAACATCAACTTATGCAGCATGAGCAGGGGTGCTCAGTGGTTGAACCATGGTTAGCACGAAGCAGCAGCAGGATCTGTTCGTGTGCTTAAATATTACAGAAGTCAGTGAAGAACACAATCTGACAAATAAAGGTTCCCGCATTTCTATAGAAAAAATAACATGCAACAAGCTTTTATAGCATTGTGCAATTGTAGCAGCTAAACTGGGATATAAAAATTACCTAGGAAATCTGACTAAATTAGTATTTTGCAAACTGATATCAAGCTACACAAATTCAGATATCTTTGAAATGAAAACATGTAATCATGGCCACCGAAGTGAACACTGTACAAATTGCCAACTGTGATTAAACAGGTTGTTGCTAGTCATAGTGGCAAATAAAGCAACACAATTTACACTTTGATAGAGCTTAAGCATGACAATTATTCATTAATCTATTCTGGCTACTGCTATAATTTGCAACAAAAAGACTATCAATCATAATGTGCCTTTTGCGTCTTTTGGATGTCTTTGGAACTGAAGTACCATGAAACATAACTAGCAGCGCAGTTCCTGCACAGCAATGTAAGGAAAGGGAGTAACAGATTTACATACAGGATTCCACAAACGCCAATTGGAGACTAGACCAGATAATCTCTTTATTATTCGTGTTGGTTATGGGTAGTTGTTGGGCAGGGACTGATTTTCTTTGCTCTTCTCCAAATTACATCAATCGTTTTTTTTGTGAGGGTTGTGAGGGCGTAGGACAGCAAGGAAGAGTCCATTCAAAGTTTCCTCAGATGTGACCATAAAACGTGGCAGCTGAGCAGCATTTGAGCTCAGTGAGTCTGCTACCATTCACTGAAATCATGGCTGATCTGAACATCGCTAATTCCACTTGCCTGACTTTTCCCCACAACTCTCAATTCCCTTACTGATTAAATTCTGTTTATCTCAGTCTTGAATATATTTAACAACCCAGCCACTTTAGCACTCTGTAAATTCACTATCCTCAGACAGAAAAGGTTCCTCCTCATCTCTATTTTAACTGCACGACCCCCATTACTCAGATTACGCTCTCAGGTCTTAGTCTCTGCGACACAGGGAAACATCTCTCCATCTTTCCTGTCAAGTCCCTACAAATCTTATGTTTCAATAAAGACACCTCTCATTCTTCTAAACTCCAATAAGTACAAACACAGTCCACTCAACCTCTCCTTACAAGACAGATCCTCCATATCCAGAATCAACCACGTGATCCATCTCTGGACTGCCTCCAATCTTTCCTTAGATAAGGAGATCAAAATTGTTCACAGTATTCCAGATATGATCGGACTAGTGTGGAGCTGGAGGAACACAGCCAGCCAGGCAGCATCAGAGGAGCAGGAAAGCTGATATTTCGGGTCGGGACCCTTCTTCAGAAATGGGGAGGGGGAAGGGAGCTCTGAAATAAATAGAAGGGTGGGGCTGGGGAAGGTAGGTGGGATGGTGATAGGTGAGTGCAGGTCGGGAGTGGGGGGGATTGGTCAGTGGGATAGGCGGGGCAGATAGGTGGGACAGAAGACAGACAGGTTGTGTTAGGTCAAACAGGCGGGGATGAGAGGGAGGGTTGGACATGGGATGAGGCCAGGGGTGGGGAGATTTTGAAGCTGCTGAAATCCAGATTTTGAAGCTGGAGGCTCCCGAGGCAGAATATGAGGTGCTGCTCCTCCAGTTTGCAGGTGGCATCATTGTGACACTGGAGGAGGCCCAGGATGGACATGTCATTCAGGGAGTGGGAGGGGTGCGGGAGTTAAAATGGTTCACGACCAGAAGGTGTTGTCATTCATCACAAACAGAGTGCAGACGCTCTACAAAATGGTCTCCAAGCCTCCGCTTGGTCTCGTCGACGTAGTGGAGGCCACATCGAGAGCAGCGGAGGCAGTAGACCAAGTTGACAGATGTACACGTGAACCCCTGTCTAATGTGGAAGCTTTGTTTTGTGCCTTGAATGGATTTGAACGTTTGGATATCGAATACTTTTTCTGCCGCCTCCGCACCTATTTATTTAACCATGAGTCTAACCCACCCTCTACAGACCCTTTCTCCCGCCTCCAACACACCCACTCCTCCTGGACACCACCCCACGGCCTCTTACCCTTCCTCGACCTCTTCATCTCCACCTGCTGTCGCGAGATCGATCACCTCAACCACTCCAGCACTCTCACTCCCTCCAACTTCTCCCCCACGGAACATGCAGCTCTCTGCTCTAACTCTAACTTCACCATCAAACCCGCCAATAAGGGGAGCACTGTAGTGGTATGGCGCACTGACCTTTACATAGCCAAGGCCAGGCACCAACTCTCCAACACCTGTTCCTACCGCCCTCCTCAATCATTACCCCACCCCTGACCACCAAAACATCATCTCCCAAACCGTTCACAATCTCATCATTTCAGGTGACCTCCCATCCACAGCCTCCAACCTCATTGTTCCCCAACTCCGCACCACCCGCTTCTATCTCCTTCCCAAAATCCACAAACCTGACTGCCCCAGCTGACCCATTGTCTCTGCCTGCTCCTGACCCACTGAACTTATCTCCGCTTACCTTGACTCTGTTCTCTCTCCACGCTCCCGCCCCCATCATAACTTCCTGTCTTCTGTTAGATAGCCAATCCTCTATCCATCCCAATAACATACCATTCCCAAAACCATGGGGTCTCATTTATGAAGTTGCCTTTGGTGCAGTAGCTCCTTGCTTGCTTTTTGGAAATCCAAATAAATTACGTCTATTGGTTGCCCTGCACCTCCTCCAAGACTTCCAATTCCCTGGCCCCCAACACCTCATCTTCACTATGGACAATCCGTGTACACTTGTATCCCCCACGCGCATGGCCTAAAAGCCCTCCCCTTCTTCCTGTCCCGCAGGCCCAACCAGTCCCCCTCCACCGACACCCTCATCCACTTAACTGAACTTATCCTTACCCTAAACAACTTCTCCTTTAACTGCTCCCACTTCCTACAGACTAAGGGGGTGGCCATGGGCCCAAGCTATGCCTGCCTCTTCACTGGATATGTGGAACTGTCCCTTTTCCGTTGCTACACTGGCACTATCCCCTACCTCTTCCTCCGCTACATTATGACTGTATTGGCGCTGCTTTGTACTCCCATGAGGAGCTTGAACAGTTCATCAACTTTACTATCACCTTTCACCCCAACCTCAAGTTCACCCGGACCGTCTCTGATACCTCTCTCCTTTCTGGACCTCTCTGTCTCCAACTCTGGTAACTGCCTCAAAACCAACATCTATTTCAAGCCCACCGACTCCCACAGCTACCAAGACTACACCTCCTCTGACCCACCATCCTGCAAGAATGCGATCCCCTACTCCCAATTCCTCCACCATCGCTGCATCTGCTCCCAAGATGGGGCGTTCCACTCCTGCACATCCCAGATGTCCTCCTATTTCAATGACCGCAACTTACCCCCTCCGGTGATCGAAAATGCCCTCAACCACATCTCTTGCGTTACCTGCACCTCTGCCCTCACATCCCCTCCCCCCCCAACAAAAATAAGGACAGAATCCCCCTTGTTCTCACATATCACCTCACTAACTCCATATCCAACTTATCATTCTCCGCCACTTCCACCACCTACAATCTGATCCCACAACCAAAGATACATTTCCCTCCCCAGCCCTATCTGCCGTTCATAGGGACCGTTCTCTCTGCAACTCCCTCGTCTGCTCCACAGTCCCCACTAACCCCACCACCTCCGGCACCTTTCCCTGCAACCACAGGAAGTGCTACACCTGCCCTTACACCTCCCCCCTCACCTCCATTCAAGGCACAAAACAAACCTTCCACATTAGACAGGGTTTCACCTGCATATCTGTCAATGTGGTCTACTGCATCCACTGCTCCCGACGTGGCCTCCTCTGCATCGGTGAGACCAAGCGGAGGCTCAGAGAGCATTTTGTAGAGCATCTGCGTATCTTCCGGTCGCAAACCATTTTAACTCCCCCTCCCACTGTGTGGGTGACATGTCCATCCTGGGCCTCCTCCAGTTTCACAATGACGCCACCCGCAAACTAGAGGAGCAGCACCTCATATTCCACCTTGGAAGCCTACAGCCCAATGGCCTAAATGTCGATTTTACCAATTTCAAAATCTCCCACCCCCGGCCTCATCCCATGACCAACCCTCCCTCTCATCCCGGCCTCCGTGACCTGACACAACCTGTCCATCTTCTCGCCCATCTATCCACCCCTCCCACCTCACTGACCAACCCCCACCACTCACATATCACCATCCCACCTACCTTCCCCAGCCCCACCCCTCCTCTCTTTATTTATTTCTGAACTCCCTTTCCCCTCCCGACTTGAAATGTCAACTTTCCTGCTCCTCTGATGCTGCCTGGCCTGCTGTGTTCCTCCAGCTCCACACTGTGTTATCTTTGACTCCAGCATCTACA